CGCAGGGGACAGGGTGGTGGCAGCACGACCTGCAACTGGGCGAAATGAGGCAGAAACCTATGTGCACTGTATCCCGTTGGTTGTTTTGTGTTTTCGATTGACTGTGCACAGCAGATTGCAGTTTTTAAGACTTCGGGAGGAAGCAGGCAATGCTTTGGTGCATTTTTTGTCTCCCGGCGGCCGTAACCCGCTGTTTCGACATGAAGCCCTTGTAGGAGGGGACTGCGTCCCAGAAATATTCAGGTACCAACGAAATTTGGTCGACTTTGTATAGTATGGAAACTGCAGAAATCCAGGCATCTTTTGGAGGAGTTGGAGCCAGATCTGGTTTTTATGGTATACTTGGGACTGTTTACGATTGTGTTCACCAGATTAGATTATTCAGATTCATGAGTGTTGGCTATCATTTGGATAGTTTATGAATCAGTTGGTTTCGAATTGCAAATCTGCCATTATCTCCGAGGACAAAGGGATGTTAATCCCCACTGACTTCATGTTGATGAAACCACCAGGCAGTATTAATTATTCATCAGAATGAAAATGGTTGGCTTCCCTTGAAAAGAGTGGCGGGGCGGGAGGGTGACCGGAACACGGGATCACATTGCAAATGATAACCCCAACACATCAGTTGAAGCGGAGCGTTTGGAGCGTTCGGTGGGCCCAGGGCGGGGTGTGTCCGGCAGTTTCGGAGCAGTATGGAGGTGGTGCCGCGGAGCGTTTGCAGGGATAGCAAGCGGAATGCTGTGGCAATGGAAGCAATCGGGGCATAGATCGGGAAAAGCCAAGGTCCACACCAAAGGTGGTCCCAGGCGCCGCCCCGGCCATGGCTAGGGCTGGGGTCGGCGGATTTCAAAAAAGAAATGCCTGCCAACAATTCCAACAATGTGAACATTCTTCAAGAAGTTGCACGTGTAGGCCCCTAAGAGATCAACGGATTTCATTTATATATCGTTGATGCTGATGTGTGTTCGCGATGTTTGGTTCAAAATGCAGGATTTTGGAAAATTGTAGTGATGATAGTGTAGAATGATGTATAATGATGTTTAACGGTTTTGGCACCGATCTGATCCCGAGCTTTGACAGTTTTTTGTCGGAAATGCTTGGATGAAAACCTATGTGGGAGCAGGGTCGGGGCAAAGAAGAAAAGGTGCTTTTGTAGTGCCTTAGGTTTTTTTTTGTTGTGTTTTATGTTGACATGTTGGGATCTAGGTTTTACGCGCTGGGACAGAATTTATCTTGAACATATCGAAAAATATTGCTTATGTAGATACCCCTTTTCCGCCTTGGTTGCGCATATCTTGGTTACTAGGGATTCAGCCAGTTTTTTGGCGGAAAACCTTGGCTATCTTGGCTCCGAGTGGAGAGGTGCACCACACGGGGATTTTGTGTTCATTCATTCGCCCCTATGTGTTCTGACTGTATGTTAGGTAGCTAACGGTTCATTTGTATAATTAATTGTTTCTCATGGCAATTCCCCTCATCACTTTCATGTTTGTGCCTGTCCAAATTTTCGGTTCAAGCGAAAGCATGTGTTGATGCTTTGCCCCCATCATGGGGTCGGGGCCGCAATCTGCATGTGGGTATGCGTCTTCAATTGCGGATCTGTTTAGCATGTTTTTTCGTTCATTGTTTGCGTGTGTGTGTGTGTTTGTGTAACATCTGTATAGATGTAAAACCTAACCTTTTTTATTTTTTTTCTCTCCTTCTTGCGGGGGGACACAGCATTTCACTGGGACTGTGTCCAACGAAGCTACCAGTGAAACGGGATATCCAGCTTGGCCAGCTGGACGTACCTGCAATCCGTCTATGGCACGGGGCTAAGCCGAGAACAACAACAACAATTTCATATATACACGGTCGCCGCAATCTGAATTTTTTCGATGTTATTTCATACGTGGTCTATATGGTAATCTTCATGCATGTGAAAGGATTCAGTTCCTGATGGATCACTTAAAAGATCCAATCTTGTCTAGTGTGATTCCTATGGTGGCTCCAACACGGTGCCATAGGGCCATTGGAGGCAACCCCGCTGTGGGTGAATGTTGACTGACCTGATTTCGGAAGTGACACTTTTAATTTGGTAATTCATTTAAGTAAAGTGCAACAGACGGCCTTTCTGTTTACCAGCCTTCTTGCGATGTCCCGTGGTTCCCGTTGTCCTTTTGTGAACCCTCGAAACCTGAATCTCTTCGCGCTTTCCGCCGTGTCGAACAACCACAAACTTCCTTTCTGCTGCAGCTCTAGCATTTGAAGTGCAACATGACATGAGCGACAGAAGGCAACAGGCATGTCTCTTTCCTGCAGGTGTGGTCACTTTGGTTTCTGGTGAGGTTGAACATATTGTGCATCTAATTCGCTGGAACTTGAACAGCTGTTTATGCCCATGTGGCTGGATTTGACCACGGTCCCTTTTTGGGAATAACGCACGACACTTTAGGGATGAACTGGGTCTTCATTAATTATTTTCTTGTTTCACCCCCTTCATCAACTATTCCCCAGTCGGTCCCTAATTCTTCCCCCGTGCCCCTCTGTAATGTGTCGTGGGTTTTAGGTGTGTGCCCTGTGCTGGTTAGGTCCGTCTCGCCGTGTAGGTTGGTTCTGGAGGTCCGTTTGTTCCCTTCCCCCCCGCGCTGTTTTGGCCTTCTGCCCGTCGTTTGTGTCCGCTTTTTTCTTCCTCTTGCCTGTCAGGGTTCACCCGGCTCCGGCCGGGTGTGTGTGTATGTGTGTGTGTGCATGTAACATCTAAATAGATGTAAAACTTATCCTTTTTCCTTTTCTTTCTTCTCTCCTTTTAATAAAGCAGGGGGTCACCGGGGTCCCGGGGGGGTCGATGACCAATGAAGACACCTCCCCGGGACCCCTGAAAACGTACCTGCGGGACACTGGTGACGCACCTGGGCGCATATAAGCCGCAGCTGGTGGTCACCACAGTCCCACACATATATATATTATATATATATATACAAGTAACTAATCTAGGTGCATGTTTAGGGGACGCAGTTCCCGACGGATCTCTTCAAAGATCCATTTTTGTCTAGTGTAATATCCATGGTGACTCCGGCATGATGCCATGGAGCCACTGGAGGCAACCCCTTTGCGGGTGACTGTGGACGAACTTGACATCGGAATTGACATTTTTAAATTAGTAATTCGTTTAAGTAAAGCGAAACAGTTGGCCTTTCTGTTATTGTGTTTTTTGTGCTGTCCTGCTGCTCCGGCCGTCCCAGTGAATCTTACGGAATGCATTTCTGCCAGTGTGAAGCCAGTCCGAACTACCAGAAACCTTGTTTTTTCGCTGCAGCTCAAACTTTTGAAACGACACGTGACCATGAAGGATGTTGCAGGCAGGCACACGCCTTTCAGGTGTGGTCTTTCTTGCTTTTTATGGTTCTCTGGTGAGGTTGAACATATCGTGCATCTAATTCCGGTCGGGTGTGTGTGTGTGTAACATCTAAATAGATGTAAAACTTATCCTTTTTTCTTTTTCTTTCCTCTCTCCTTTTAATAAAGCAGGGGGTCACCGGGGTCCCGGGGGGGTCGATGACCAATGAAGACACCTCCCCGGGACCCGTGAAAACGTACCTGCGGGACTGTGGTGACGCACCTGGGCGCATATAAGCCGCAGCTGGTGGTCATCACAGTCCCATACACATATATATTAACTAATCTAGGTGCATGTTTAGGGGACTCAGTTCCCGACGGATCTCTTTAAAGATCCAATTTTGTCTATAGTGTTTGTGTGTGTGTGTAACGTCTGTATAGATGTAAAACCTCTCCTTTTTCTTTTTGTCTCTCCTTCTTGCAGGGGGACACAGCATTTCATTGGGACTGTGTCCAACGAAACTACCAGTGACATGGGATAATTATCCAGCTTGGCCAGCCGGACGTACCTGCAATCCGTCTATGGCACGGGGCTAAGCCGAGAACCCCAACAACAACAATTTCATATATACACGGTCGCCGCAATCTGAATTTTTTCGATGTTATTTCATACATGGTCTATATGGTAATCTTCATGCATGTGAAAGGATTCAGTTCCTGATGGATCACTTAAAAGATCCAATCTTGTCTAGCGTGTGTGCGTGGGATCCGAAACAAAAAACTGTTGAATAAGTAGAACTCTTGCGTACCATAAATGGTTGGTATTGTTGGCAGAAACAATCCCCAAATGGTAAATTTATGTCATCGAACTTTTTATGGTTTACCACGTTGGCCGTGTCACGTGGCTGACGTGGTTCAGGTCAATTTTGTCGTTGTTCTTCGGGCGGCAGCTGCCGCCTCCACAGCCAGAGGTGGCCACACCTGGTGATTCATGTGCGTTAAAAACAAATTTGATCATCAATAGATGGATAATGAATCCCAATGCACAAGTAAACATGCGTATTCACTTTAGGCAATTGAGTACTGTGATATTGTCTGATGGTCATTGTTTGACAGAGCGCGTTTTTCGATCATGTGCAGGGAAAAAATTCCCTTGGGTGCCACTCATTCCGGAGGTAGCCACGACGGCAGCAGCAGCGACGGAGGCGTCTGAGAACGTTTCTCTGGTTGCAACCAGCGGATGGTTGGGGCCGGGTAGAGATTCGCTTTCACTGTGGTTAACCATGGTCAACTCAAATAGCATAAGTAAAACTACCATTTGGGGGATTGTTTCTGCCAAAATTTCCTCCTTCATAATTAAATGCAATAACGTGCCCAAGAATGGGGCGCGTTAATAAAACCAAATGCGCATAGTATTATAGACCAGACGAATAGGTTTTGCTACTGCGGGTAAAGCGTGCATGGATTTGTTTTCCAATTCCCGAGAGAAATTTTTTCAGATATATATAGAAACTAAAAAATGAACAAAACCAGTGTTTACTCCCTGTTTGTTTGGAGAGTAGGGAGGTTGTGCATCATTCCGGGGAAGGCGCGTTTTCCAGTTGAACCAACCGACGGTTCGAACCAATAGAATTTTCGCATTGAACCCATATCAATATAACACCCCGAAACTTGCCAAAATGATTTGCCCAGCAGGTGTTGGTGCTAAACCAATATTGGTTTATCTTCTTTATTCTTTTGGGGACAATTTTTTGATCAAAATTTCTTTCTCAAAACATGGGCTGCATGAGGCGGAGGCATCGGCCCTGCGTGAGAACATCCAGAAGAAAGGTTCCGGCAGACGGGTGATTTGCCCAGCAACTCGTGTATGGTTTTGGGTGGTTAAACCATACCGATTTATTGATGTAGATTGTCAATCCAATAATCAAGACCACAAAAACGTATTTACCTGCCAACGAAAAAATCAGCAAGTATTTGAAACACATTGTCTGTATGCAACCCTCAAATCCAATGCAATTGTTCCCTCCAAAAAACATCTCAACCACAGGTTTTTTGGCAGTTAATAGTTTCCTGACCTGTGGAATCTGGTCAGGTGAAAACGCATATTACTATGCGCACAACCGGAAATTCGAGGTCCCACCAGATGCGAAAGTCATTTCTGGTCGCATCCTCAGAGGATGGATTCAGTAACTGGACTGGACAGTTGCTAGCGATACCCCAGGTCCTGGGCTAGTGACTGGTATCTTGGCAGCAGATGGGTGCCCAACAACGGATTGTGGTTGTCTGAATCTGGATCCAATTTATTCCCCACCTGCCAGGTGAGGGTTGTTAGATTTTATCAGAGCTGTTCTCCTCCTCCTCCGCCTCCTCTGCCTCCTCCGCCTCCTCACCCGCCGCCTCCTCCTCGCAGTCCAGATCCAGTGGGCACAGCCGGACCTCCACCGCGAGCTCCAGATTGCAGTGGGCACTGCCGGACCTCAACCGCGAGTTGCAGATCGCAGTGGGCACTGCCGGACCTCAACCGCGACTTCCAGATCGCAGTGGGCACTGCCGGACCCCAACCGCGACTTCCAGATCGCAGTGGGCACTGCCGGACGTCAACCGCGACTTCCAGATCGCAGTGGGCACTGCCGGACCTCAACCGCGACTTCCAGATCGCAGTGGGCACTGCCGGACCTCAACGGGAAGAATGTGAGAAAAGATGTCAGATAGAATGTCAGAAGATATGCCAGATAGAATGCCAGAAAGAATGTCAGAAAGAATGTCAGAAGATATGCCAGACAGAATGTCAGAAGATATGCCAGAAAGAATGTCAGAAGATATGTCAGATAGAATGTCAGAAGATATGCCACATTGAATGCCAGAAGATATGCCAGATAGAATGCCAGAAGATATGCCAGATAGAATGTCAGAAGGTATGCCAGATAATATGCCAGAAGATATACCAGATAGAATGCCAGAAGATATGCCAGTATGCCAGATAATATGCCAGAAGATATGCCAGATAGAATGCCAGAAGATATGCCAGAACATATGCCAGAAGACATGCCAGATAGAATGCCAGAAGAAATGCCAGAAGATATGCCAGATAGAATGCCAGAAGATTTGCCAGATAGAATGCCAGAAGATATGCCAGAACATATGCCAGAAGATATGCCAGAAGATATGCCAGATAGAATGCCAGATAGATAGAATGCCAGAAGACATGTCAGATAGAATGCCAGAAGATTTGCCAGTAAGAAAATGTATACATGTCATGGTGGGGATCACTCGAAGTAAAGTATTTTTTTATCCTGTAGTTCATCTATATCCTAGTTTATATCTATATATTTGCATCTATATCTACCTCCGTCTCTGTCTTTGTCTCTGTCTCTGTCTCTCTCACTCTCCCTCTCTAAGTTTACAATTTGTTTGTATAAATAAGTACCATTTGAATAATTCAATAGTCGACGCCTAGAGCATTTGCAGAACCTTATCAATGTTGGGGCAAGGATCCCATTCTGATTCACTTCCAGTTTGACAGACGGATCGGACCGAGATTCGTGTCGGATAGAATTGAACAACAGAAGGCCCGCGCTTTGTTGACATATTCGTATTCCATTCTAGTTTCAAACCACCAGCAAAAACCAGTGGTTTGCTGCTACCAGAGACCATTGAACTGGTAACTCACCGTTTCTTTTGGTACCTCTCTAGCCAATCAACCAGGGTTTATCCAGCGTGTGCACTGCCAAGGCGGACCACCAGTGAAACTGGATATCGAGGCGGGAAACTGTGCCCGTTCTTTCCCCATTCCCTTCATTCTCTGTCAGATTTGGAACGGCTGGATTTTCATTCCTCACAAAGTCTAGGGCACCAAAACATCTCTCAAACAAATTTGGATCATCACCATATCTTTGCAGCATCGCTTTCAGTGATCCAGTGGCCGGTCTGAGGCCAACGGTAGCCCTGCCGAGAAGCGCGTGGAAGCCATCCGAAGCTTTTCTTGGACGGACGATGGTCAGTTACCTCAGCTGCTGTGAACCGTAGCTCTTAGCTGGTTAGAACCATGGCAACGATGGTAATAGGGGGGTATCTATAGTTACAAAAATTACCGTAGTCATATATATATATAATTATATTTATATTTATAGGGTAACATACTTCAGTTGGGAGGCGTACGGTTACACACCAATACAGATCATGGTTGCGAAGGAACTCTCCTTTGGTATGGCCGCCGCTCCAAGGTGGCAAAGTCAAGATCTACTTGCAACTTCCCGAAGGAACTCTGCAAGATGCGTCGCAAGTGACCTGCGATTTTCAAGACAGAAGCTTCCACTTGCAGGCCGTCCGCATCAGAATGATCATCGCTGATCTCTATAGATTCAAGACACAATCGACCAGTGATCTACTCATTGTGGGCGCTCACTGTTTCCAAAATTATTTTCAGAAATCTATATGTATATATATATATATTACAATATATATATGCATGTATATATATATATATTACAATATATATATGTATATATATATATATATATATGTATATATATATGTATATATATATATGTCACACACACACACATATATATATATATATATATACATGTTAGATTGATTAGGATGCTGATTTTGGGTGGCCAGGTTGCCTGCGGCAACGCCTGGGCCTCGGAACCTCGAAAAAGTCCACCAACAACCAGGCCATGTTGCGACTTTTGGAGAATCCTGCGACTAAAAACACACACACATATTATATATAGAGAGAGATATATTTGGCTGATGTTTTTTTATATTTTTGTTGGCCCGGCCCTGGCAATGGGATGATGATCCAACATGTCTTACGTGTTCGGCATTGGTTGAAACCAGCATCGTAGGATCATCGTAGGCTATCCATTGCAAGGGGTTGGGGCGGCTGAGGTCACGTACACGTGCAAGATGGATCCGCTCTATGGGGACATCGTGTCAGGGCGCACAGGACATTGTGCCACCAGATTGCAGTTTCCGGTGCTATTTGAACACCCCAACACCTGCGGAAACTGAACCCCAACACTGACTCCCATATTTTTTGGGAATGCCAATGGGTTCATATATCAATAGGTTTATGCGCTATTCCCACATGCGTGGGTGAATCTCCTCGTATTTTGGTCAATCTCAATGTACCTGCTGCCATTCTGAGTATTGCTCAGAGGGTCGTCTCACTCACGAAGTAGATCGGAACCACGGTTGCGTAGGTCCCCCTAAGCAGGACAATCATAACATCCTTACATAAATGTACGCACACACACACACACATCTTCATTTGCACACTTGCATGTACGCATGCAATCTGTATACCATATATCATATCATATCATGTCATGTCATATCATATCATGTCATTTCATATCATATCACGTCATTTCATATCACGCACACACACACATACACACACACACGCGCAGACATATATATATATAATGTGAACATATGCGGCTATAATAATGTGATAGATAACCACGCTTGCAACCCAGTTCCAATTGGATGCTCCTCCGGGTATCCGTCTACCTTCTGCACCCAGACCTGACGCGTGCAGCTACCGCTCGAACATGGAGAAGTCCAAGGCGCACGGGATGTTTTCACCAGTGGGTCACATGTCCAGATGCTTCAATTACTAACATGGTTGATATATATGGTTGATATATATGGTTAATAGTGGTTAATAGTGTTAATGAATCTGAAATCATCCTGCAGTGGGCAGAAATTTGTCCGAGTTACCGAGTTTCAAGTTATAGAGAAAAAGGTGGGTGCAAACCATCAATGGAAATCGGGCCTATCGTGATGGGGATGATGGGGATTCCAAGCACGTAGCTTGGTGGAAGAGATGACATACAGATCATATAGGACAAAGGACAAAATGGCCCTGCCGCTGCCACCGACCACATGTCTAGGACATGAGCACCAGCAGCGATTGCACCCCAGAAACTTCGGTGACCTGTGACTCAGGTCACCGTGACCGTGAAGAAGAAGAAGGATCAAACCTGGTATGAGCTGAAGAAGAGCTGAGTGCTCCAACCTGCTCCAACCTGCTCCACCGCAGAGCTTAGCTTAGCTTAGCTCTGAGATGACCCCGCTTCGGTGGAAAAAAACAAGTGCAGTGGAAAATGGTCAATCTTCGCCACAGCAACCATCAGCATCAGCAGAATCATCACCATCAGCATCACCATTCCACGAGCTTTTTTGCTTTTGGGCTTTCAGCGGAAAGGGTAGGATGTGCCGCGGTGAACAGCATCGCAGCGGATCCTGCGTTTGAGCGAGCTCCTCATGTTTGGACGGAAAGGATGGAACAATCTGTGAAGGACCTTTCCGTAGACATGACAAAATGGGAAAATGGATGAACGCTGTTTTCAGAGCACTTTTTCAGTATTTACGGTGATGTCGGCTGCTTTGTTAATTTTTGATCATTCGTATCAGACTCACATCCCTGCTCCTGTTGGCTTCAGGGTTCAAGGAATATGTATATAATGAGACCCATCCAGATGCTAACAGAGACCTGAGAATGGCCCATTGGAAGAGGAAAGTGGCCTTCCAACCCCCATAACTTGCACGGTCTATGCTAGTTGGAGAGATGGTAGTTTGGCAATTTATCATACATATTCCGATTCCCTTTCTTTCATGGCCGCAATCCCAAGTTTAATTGGATACCCAAAGATATACAGCTAATATTCTGATTCTTGGTTTGTTATTGGTGCTTCATACCCATCTCAGCTTAAAATCATGGCAATTTGGGGTCAAAAAAACTATCATATCCCCAAGACAAACCAAGTTTCTTCGGTTCCCCAGTGCCCAATCCCGGGCCCCTTGAGGCCAGTCGTGATGCCGGGGGATGCGCCCAGGGCCGGCACGCCGCGCACGCCGCGGCCCAGGTGGTGCAGCCCTAGGGGAATGATCCCCAAATAGCCAAACTTTCAGCTATTTCCACAGACACAAACACGCACACACACACACAGATATATAAATAAATAAATAAATAAATAAAAATACATATACATATACAATCATTGATATACATACACGTACACATACACATACACATACACACCTAAGTACACCCACGCATACATACATACATGCATGCATCCATCCATACATACTTACTTACATGCATCCATACATCCCTCCATCCATCCATCCATCCATACATAGATACATACATAGATAAATGCGTACATGCACACATGCACACATGCATACATGCATACATGCATACATGCATACATCCATACGTGCATACATGCATACGTGCATACATGCATACATGCATACGTGCATACGTGCATGCATGCATACATATCATACATGCATACATGCATACATGCAGACATACATACATGCATGCATGCAGCATGCATACATACATCTACGCATACATACGTACGTACGTACATGCATGCATGCATGCATGCATACATGATCTCATCATGCATTTCCTGACTGTTAGATTTTGGGCACGAGCTAATGGTTGACAGGCCCCTCACCTTAGGAGCGGCCGGAGGATCCTTTTCAGCCATAGTCTGGAGACTTCTGACTGAAACCGTTCAGTCTCCTATTCCTGTGCCTGTCTCAGTTGAGTGCCCTCTTTGTGACTGCCCTCTGCCAACTTTACCTTCAATTTCTTGGGCTTCACTGGATCTGCTCAGCGTGGCTGTGGGCATTCTGGTAGGGCTATCTTTGGGCCCTTTGTTGGACCTGCTCATCCTGCTACGTGCCTCTTGGCGTTGGTGGGTGAGGACCAGATTGAGGGATTTGGTGGCGAGGCAAGGTGAGTGGTATAGGCTTGTATGAGGGTGACAACTAGTGAAATTGAAACAAAGTTAGATACCCTCATTGCACTGGTTGAGCGGCTTCAGCTTGACACCGGTGATCTCCGATCTGACCTTCGATCAGTCCAAGAAAGGCTCTCCGCTTTGGAGAGCAGGACACCTGGGGCTTCTGCCTCGCCAGCCAGAGAAGTGAGCAGTGCTGCTCGGTCCTCTCAGGCTTCCTCAGCTCCAGTTGCTGGATACCACGTTGGGCCTGAACGTGAGGCCGCAGCTCGCGACATTGGTCGTTGGCTGGCAAAGAGCATCGACGGTGTGGCCAGAGGATTGTCTGGCCGCGAGCGCATTCCCCAGCAGACGCGCTACTACTTGGTGGTGCGTGATTTTCATCGCAACCTCTACGATCCTCCACTCTTCTTGTCCAACTGGCCCGATTGCAAGGAAAGGGTCCAGTGCCGAGGACAAGTGGGTGACAGCATCTTCATTGGGCTTCCTACCAAGCGCAAGTGCTACCTGGCTGTCTTGGCGGCAGGCTTAGTCCTGCCAGCTGAGTTGATTGGCCTGGATGGCCAGCCTTGAGGAGCTGAGTGACGTTGCAGAAGAGGAGGGCTCAGCTGTACCCGAGGCAACTGGGCTCTTTGACAATTTTGTGACCTCGGATTCTCAGATTGTGTTTGACTATCAAGTTGGTTTTATTTCTTTTGGAAGCAGGCCCAAAGTTAGTATCATAGGGGTTTGTGAAGTTGATCAACAAGCACTTGTGGCTGTGCCTGATTTGGCATGGCATCGGCAGAAGGCACGTCGCCATATGCCGGACGACGCTCTGCAGAAGGCTGTTCGCGTCGAAGCCAGAGTTGGATCCGGTTTGGATCGGACGGTACCAGAGGATGGCACAGGCATCAAAATCTGGTTGGGTTTTTTGAAGGCCGACTATGTGGACCTCGTCGCCTACGGCTTGGACGCTTTGCCGGACGACATCCTGTTCCCTTCAGACACGGTCGGGTTGCCTATGCTGCCTCATGCCGAAGCTTTGGTGGCCATCTCTCACGACCACTTCGTGTTCCTCAGCGCCGAAAGCGGCGGAGCAAAACCAGTGTATGGCACTCCAGATGTCGAAACACGTTTGGGTCAGCTGGAAGGCACCATGGCCGAGATTTTAGAAAATTTGAAGCAGTTGAAACCGGGAGCGGCTTCCTCCCGTCCATCTGCTCTTCATGGCGACCATGGTCCAAGAAAGCCAGATCCTCCGCGGGTCTCCTTCGCACCGCCTTGTGGATTGGATCCTCATGTAGTGCAGCAAGCGCTAATGGCTGGGGTCTCCAAAAAGTCTTTTAGAAGAAGTGGCCCTTTTGTTGCAGCAGCAAAATCAGATGACTCCCGCCGCAGCGCCACAGGCCGCAGACAAAGCCTTGGTCAGCGACAGCGACGAGGAGGACGAGCATCTGGGCGCCGCTTCTGGCAGTCTCGATCCTATGAATCGGGCAGTGGTCAGCCTGAGCAAGATCGGCAAAGAGATGCGGAAAGAAAAGAAGCCGAAGAAGGATCGCGACCTAGAGTCCATTCTGGATCGCGCAGAATCTGGCTCAGCAAAGGATTCCGTGGGCTCTACAAGAAGCAAGGCGGCTGCTCTCCGATCGTTGCACAAACTACTGCACACAGACCCGAAGCTCATTTATCAGGCGGTCGAAGGCCACATGCAGGAGGATTGGGAGATGGGCGGTCAACGACTTCCAGGAGCTATGATCACTCAGATCTCTGCCCGGGGTTGGTTGGAGCATCGCTCCAGAATCAGCTCCTACCCAGGGACCATTCGACCTGCTTGGCTTTGTGCCGGCATTTGGGACTGCCTCATGCGAGGAGCTGTAGACGAAGCCAGAGCGAGGGCGGCCCTGGCCACAGCTTGCTTCGACCAACAAGCGTGCGACAGAGGGGGATGGCTTCTGGCATCAGAGATGACCTTAGAGCCCCCGCCGCCCTATGAAAGCTTCGCCCAACACAGTCCTCCGGAGCAATGGGAAGTGCAGCACACCAGATTGATGGACGAAAGGTGGAGCGAACTCTTCCTTTCGAGACTCAAGGACCTCGCGGAGTATCAGGAGAAGAAGCTGAAGCTCACCGCGACCAAGACCAAGAAGGAGGAGGTGCCGCCCAAGAACGATCAGAAGAAGGGCAAGGGAAAAGGAGGAAAGAAAGGGAAGGAGCCCGAGGAAGCGGCTTCATCCTCGACCCCTCAGTGAGTGCCGACTATGAACTTCAGCTGGAAGAGGATTGCCACTTTGTAGAGGTGTTCCCAGCTGAGGGCACAGCTGCAATCCTATCAGTACCTGGGGCTCTTGCCCCCATTTCCAACATTGGCAAGCTCTGGAATTCATTAGTTCGCTGGATCCTGAGTGGGAAGTCTGGCTTTGCACGTTTTTTGCGAACTCTTGGGCGCCATGAACCCTTGGCAGACAAGGGCACAGCTCAGCCCCTTTGGCCTGTACCAGCTCCCTATCCACAGTGGATGATGCGGGTAGAGAAGAGTAAGGTAAATTACGAGCAGATGTATGTCGAGAAGGCTGTCAACCTCATGATTCTTTCATCTTCGTGGCTTCATTTAGGTAAACCACTGGTTGCTCCTGCCACCTTAGTTTTGGGCTCCTCCTTGACGAAGAAGCAGTGGGGAGTGGTGAAAAGATATGAGAGGCTGATCAGCGAGTTCCTCCAGGTTGGCGACATTGGTCCAGCCGCTATGGGACGCTCGGCGGCCAAAGTGGAGAGCTTGTCTTCACTCCTTGTTGAGCTCGAGACGGCAGCGGCGAAGACTGCTGCCCCTTATGAGCACCGTCCTGCAGCACAACGATCTGATGGGAATGAGCCACAGCCTGGTCACCAAAAAGGGGATCCTGGACGTGTAGTTGGTCGTTTGCAGAAGCCTGCACCTCAGCTGGCGAAGTGTGTGGAGCCTTCGCGGCTTTCTTTTCCTCAGGATTCTCCGGCCTTTGATCCCTCATCCATGTTAGAAGAACCACACAAGAAGGTTTATGAAGATCCTATTTCTTGTGCTATTTCACCAGAAGATTTTTCGTTGGAGCCTCCGAGGGTGCGTGTTCACGGTAGCAAAGACCAAGCTTTAGGACTGTTCAGATTCCTGGATCAACATCACCGGTTGAGACTCGTTCCCAGAGAAAAAGTTCGAGATGGTTTTCTTTGCGGCGCTTTTTGTTTGGTGAAAGATGAGAAGAAAGATAGACTAATATTGGACGCCAGACCCCCAAACATGTTGGAGGAGACTTTGTGCAGTTGGACCAAAACACTGGGGTCGGTGAATGCCATTTTGCAGATTGAGTTGGAGCCTGGATGCAACCTCAGCATGAGTGGCACCGATCTTCGTGATTATTACTACTGTTTCAAGGTCACCAAACAGAGAGCATGTCGCAACACATTCAATTTTCCCCTCTCACCAGCACAAGCTTCTGAACTGCATTGTTTTACTCCCGACATGTGGCAGCGTAGCACATTATATCCCTGTCTTGCAACTATGGCTATGGGCGATTGTCAAGCTGTAGAGATGGGTCAGATGGTCCACGTCAAGATAGGTATGCAGTGTGAAGCCATCCATCCTCATGAATTGCTTTGCGTCCATGGCCGTGGCCCGCGCGGCAAGATCAGCTGTGGGGTCATCATCGACGATGCCGTGTTTTTGGAGCAAGTTCCCGCTATGCTGACTCCGGCAGAGCTGAGGAGGACTGATGGTGCAAAAAGGTTGAGGGCAATTAAGGAAGAGTATGTTGGTAAGAATCTAACACCCCATGATGGTAAGACTTTTGAAGCTGAGTTTGAAGCCGAGTTTTGGGGAGCATCGGTGAATGGTATAGCTGGATCTATTCGTGCTAATCCCAAAAGACTCATCCCCTTGATGGATCTGACAGCGAAGACAGCACGCCTTGGGTTTGCCACTATGTTACTGCTGCAGACTTTGGCGGGAGCTTGGATTAGTGTCCTTCAATTTCGGAGACGCATGTTGTGCTTGCTGGATGAGATCTATGTAGCTCAACACGGTAGAGAAGAAGACATGATCATTGAGCTTTCGCCTTCACTGCAGTCAGAGCTTTGGATTTTAGTTTGCCTTGGGCCTCTTGCTGTAACCGACCTCAGAGCCCAAACTTTGGGGAAGCTGTTTTTGACAGATGCTTCAGAAGATATGAAAGTGTCTGTGGTGTCTGCACTGCCGTTGCCGTTTGCCAGAGAGCTGCACCGACACGCGCTTGCTCGAGGTGCGTGGACCCGGTTGTTGACTCCCTGGAAGGTATGGTTAAAGCAACACTTTCAACTGGATGAGGAAGATGCCATGCCAGATGGTGTTCCACTGGTCAGTCACCCTTTGTGGCTGATTTTGGCTCAGTGCTTGAGATTTGAGCTTCATCACCGAAAACGAGTAGGTTCCCGTAGACACATCAACTTGCTTGAGATGGAGAGTTTGTTGGAGCTGGAAAAGAAGATCGCAGCCTATCAGCAAGACAGCAGGTACCTCTGCGGTTGTGACAGCCAGATTGTCATTGCTGCCGTGTTGAAGGGGAGGTCTAGCTCACCACACCTGAGCGAACTGCTACAGAAGAGCTTGCCTACCGTTCTTGGAGCAGGGCTCTATGGGAGCTATGGCTGTATCCCATCAAAAGCGAACGTCAGTGATGACCCGACGAGGTGGACTGATATCAGGCCTCCATCCAGGCCCATTCCTGATTGGCTGTTTGCAGCATTTTCTGGGTGCTTTGATGCTTTGGATGTTTGGTTGGGTGAGCGTGGCTATGATCCTTTAGACATTGCTCAGCTTCCTTTTCCTTTGCGTACAGCTCCCAAAGCGGATGTCCTTGAACATAGCTTGATAGCTGAGCTGCGAGCTGTACAGAAAACCGAGCGATTAGCAAAGTTTGATCAGAAAATCTACGGAACCGATCCGAAGGATTGGAAGACTTTTGAAACTCCGGCCACTGGGGCCAATGAACAAAAGGATCACAAGAGGCCTCAAGATGCTGAACTTGCCTTTGGCCCTCACCATGCTGTTGTTTCCAAGAAAACTGAAGAGCAGAATTGCGTAGGTAGCAATACCGTTTCGTCTAGTCACGTTTCACCCGTCTTAGTTGCGAAAGATGAAGGGGTACAAGAGCCTGATGGCCAAACCAAGAACTCCAATGAAGAACCTCCAGGGAAAACGAACCGGAGGCACCTGAATCATTTTGTTGGTTGTGAAGGCCGACCCCAGCCTGCAGAAATGAAGAAAGTAGTAGGCACCGGCTCTCCTGATGAGCCCCCCTTAGGTGAATCCGTCTCACGTCGTCAGCGGGGTGGGCTAGCCATGGAAAATGTGAAGTCTGCTTTGCTGTCCAGTGAAGCAAGAGCAGCCTTGGCTCTTCTACCGAGGGAGTGCTTCATCAAACCTGATGGAAGGCGAGCAAGACCTGATGAAGTTTTGGATTTCCAGCGGAAGGGTTTTTTGGATCTCTTCAGTGGCAAAGCCTCTTTTGCTCGCTCTATGGCTAGGCGATTTTCTGTTTTTGTGGTCACCTTTGATTTTGAACACAGTCCCAGACAAGATCTTCTCAATGAGTCTCTTCGATCCGATATCAAAAGATGCCTTTTAGCTGGCTGTTTTCACGGGATGGGTGCGGCTCCGGAGTGCTGCAGCTTTTCCAGAGCCGTTACACCCGCAGTACGCAGTGCGCTCAGACCCGAAGGTCTTCCACAGATCTCGGAAAATATGCAACGAAAGGTCCAGGTGGGAAACAGTCATGCACAGTTTCTTTTGGAGCTTTTAGTTATTTGCCAAGAAATGGGCCTGCTCTACTGGGTTGAGAATCCAGATGGTTCTTTCCTCTGGCTTCTGACTGATTGGCGCGAGAAGGGTTTTGGATCTCCAGAAGCGGCCTTCAGATTTGACATGTGCCGTTACCATACTCCTTGGAGGAAACGAACAAGGATTGCGACGAACACTTGTTTGAGTGGGCGCCGTGAGCTTTGCCATGGAGATCATTCACATGTGATACTTCGCGGTCGTTGCAAGGCCCAAGAGATGTCCTGGACTCGACTGGCTCAGGCCTACCCTCAACAACTGGGATATGATCTGGCTAGTGCAATGGCAGCTGGTGCAGGGCTTACAAAAAAGAACACAAAGTTGAA